TTTTATTTATATAGATTGTTATGTTGATGGTTTTTAATGGCTCTTTTATGAATGTATGGCATCGAATTTTTGCCAACCTGTAATGTGCCTTGAGTCGCCGTATGGCTGAGAAAGGTGGAATATAAATATCATAAATAAATAAATAATATTACAGTATAATGGTATAGTACAATATAGTAATATATAATACTAATATTGTGGCTACGGTAATAATATAATATATTGTATTTACGTATTACTTGTAATCTGCTCTGAGTCCCCTTCGGGATGAGTAGGGCGGCATATAAATTTCGTAAATAAATAATTAATACCTCTTGATGGTACTAAATTTTCATTCATTCAGTACTTTGGGAAAAATGGACGAGTTCTAATAACTCTTAAGATAAAGGTAAAGATGTCCCCTGACATTAAGTCTAGTTGTGTCTGGCTGTGGCGGGTGGTGCTTCTCTCTATTTCTAAGTCGAAGAGCTAGTGTTGTCCGTAGACACCTCCAAGGCAATGTGGCCAGCATGACTGCATGGAGCGCTGTTACCTTCCCGCAGAAGTGGTACCTATTAATCTACTCATATTTGCATGCTTTCGAACTGCTAGGTTGGCAGAAGCTGGGGCTACTAGCAGGAGCTCACCTCACTCCCTGGATTTGAACCGCCAATCTTTCAGTCAGCAAGTTCAGTAGCTCAAAGTTTTAATCCGCTGTGCCACCAGGGCCCCCTCTAATGACTCTTATTCTGCATTATTTCTTCTCTGTGTTATTTATTTGTTTATTTAGACCATTTCTGCCCTGTCCTTCTCAACCTCCAAGGAGGAACTCAGGGTGGCTTCCAAACAGGCAACGACTGAATGCTAAACGTAATATAAATTTATTTACAGCATTTCTACCCCGCTCTTCTCACCCCCGCAGTGGGACTCAGAGCGGCTAACAATGGCAACGATTCGATGCCGCAATAATTACAATTATAAAAGCAAAATAAAATCATACAATATAATACATTAAAACAACATTAGTTATCCAATCATAAAGGCATTTCCATTATAACAACCATCTGGTCCAATTCACTGTTCAGGTGCCATTATATCCATATATAAAACATAGTAAAATTTACCATGTACATTAAAATAGTTATAAAATATGCATTAAAACAGTTTGCCGGGTTAAAAATCGTCATCCAGATGCGGTCAAATAAAATTTTATCTTCAACAATAAAAAGTCTATACTGTGAACGCTTGGTCCCATAACCAGGATTTAAGTTTCTTCCGGAAGGTCAGGAGGGAGGGGGCAGATCTAACCTCATTAGGAAGGGAGTTCCACAGTTGAGGGGCCACCACGGAGAAGGCCCTGTCTCTTGTCCCCACCAAACGCGACTGCGATGGTGGTAGGATCGAGAGCAGGGCCTCCCCGGATGATCTTAAGGTCCTAGATGGTTTGTAGGGGGAGATACATTTGGACAGGGACGGAACTGTTTAGGGCTTTATAGGTTAAAACTAGCTCTTTGAATTGTGCTAGGAAGCTAATAGTGGAGCTGGTGTAACAAGGGAGTTGTGTGCTCCCTGTACCTTGCTCCCGTGAGCATCCTGGCTGCCGAGAGTTGAACTAACTGAAGCTTCCGAACAGTCTTCAAAGGCAACCCCATGTAAAGTGCATTGCAGTAATCTGTTCGGGATGTAACCAGAGCGTGGACCACCGTGGTCAAGTTAGACCTCCCAAGATACAGGCGCAGCTGGCGCAAAAGTTTTAACTGTGCAAAAACTCCCCTGGCCACCGCCAAGACCTGGGGTTCCAGGTTGTGAGTTATATGCATTTAGCTCCTGTTTGAAAACTTGTTGTATTTGTTCAAAACACCAATGTGCTTTGTTTGTGTTTTCCTCCCTGTCTTTTAGTGGCTCAATGAGACAATTTTAGTGCCTCTTGTTCAAGAGATTGAATCTGTGAGCACTCAACTCCGGAGGATGGGATGCCCAGAACTACAGATTGGAGGTATGAGCACAACACTCACAAGATGGGTGCTAGGGACTCTGATTCCGGGCATCTAATGGTTCTAGAGCAGGCATGAGGCCAGCTCAGCCATCCAGGTGTTTTGGACTTCAACTCCCACAATTCCTAACAGCTAGTACAGTGTTTCTCAACCTTCCTAATGCCGCGACCTCTTAATACAGTTCCTCATGTTGTGGTGACCCCCCAACCATAACATCATTTCCTTTGCTACTTCATAACTATAGTTTTGCTACTGTTATGAATCGTAATGTAAATATATGATAAGCAGGATGTATTTTCATTCACTGGACCAAATTGGACACAGATATTCGATAAGCTCAAATCTGAATGTTGGGGGGGGGGGGGTGTGATTTTGTCATTTGAGAGTTGTAGTTACTGGGATTTATAGTTCACGTACAATCTAAGAGCATTCTGAATCTCCACCAACGATGGAATTGAACCAACCTTAGAACACAGAACTCCCATGACCAACAGAAAATACTGGAAGGGTTTGGTGGGCATTGATCTAGAGTTTGGGAGTTGTAGTTCACCTACAGCCAGAGAGCACTGTGGACTCAAACAATGATGGATTTGGACCAAACTTGGCACGGATACTCAATATGCCCAAATGTGAATACTGGTGGAGTTTGGGGAAAATAGTTTCAGGAGAGAATGCTTCTAGAACATGGCCAGTAAACTAGCTGTACCCGCCACACGTTGCTGTGGCCAGACTTCCCTCTTTCTCTCCTTCCTTCTCTCCCTCTTTCCTTCCTTCCCTCTTTCTCTCCTTCCTTCTTTCTTCCTTCTCTACCTGTTTCTTTTCTCGCTTCCGTTGCTCTTTGGTTCCATCCTTCTTTGTCTCTTTCCTTCCTTCCCTCCCTCTTTCTCTCTTTTCTTCCTCCTTCCTTCCCTCTTTCACTTTTTTAATTCTCTCTCTCCTTCTTCCTTCTCTCCTTTTTTTCCCTCTTTCTCTCCTTCCTTCCCCCTTTCTGTGTATGTGTTTTGTGTGTGCATATATTTGTGTGTGTATATATTTTTGTATATGTGTTTGTGTACATATGTGGTTTTGCACATGCGTTGTAATTTTTGTTTTTTGGCTTTTTAAGTCCCTTCCGTTGTGTTTTTCGGTGTTTTTATGAGTGATGGTCACTCGTTGGCCTGAGAGGTGTCTTGTGTCCAAATTTGGTGTCAATTCGCCCAGTGGTTTTTGAGTTATGTTAATCCCACAAAAGAACATGACATTGTATTGTCGAAGGCTTTCATGGCCGGAATCACTGGGTTGTTGTAGGTTTTTTCGGGCTATATGGCCATGGTCTAGCGGCATTCTCTCCTGATGTTTCGCCTGCATCTGTGGCAAGCATCCTCAGAGGTAGTGAGGTCCGGAGAGAATGCCTCTAGAACATGGCCATATAGCCTGAAAAAACCTACAACATCCCATGAACTGGCCACCTGTATTTAAAAACTCACAAATTATAACAGTAAATAAAGAACAAAACTCAAACACAGGGGAACTCCAGACAAGAAACAATCAGGGATAGCTAATCACCTCTCAACAAAGGATTTCCCCAGGCACTAACAAGCCACACCAAAAAACTGTCAGGCCATCAAATGCTAATCAAGGTGGCCAATTGAAACATTCACACCTACCTTCAACAAGAGTTCTTTCTCCCACCCAGGATTTTTTCCTGGTTTCCAACAGACCTCACAACCTCTGAGGATGCCTGCCATAGATGCAGGTGAAACATCAGGAGAGAATGCTTCTAGAACATGTCCATATAGCCCGAAAAACCTACAACCCACTGAGTTAACACTTCTGACAGATTTGCAGGATGGAGGGTGTTTATGAGAAAACGTAGCCTTGCATTTTCATCCCTTGTCCCAACTCAAGACGATTTACGGCCCTGTTTTTGCAGATGCCAGCATCAGCAGCCTGAAGCAAGCCGCGCTGGTGAAAGCCCCTCTGATCCCGACCTTGAATACCATTGTCCAGTATCTGGACCTTACCCCCAACCAGGAATATCTGGTGGAGCGGATCAAAGGTAAACCATTATCTTCGCAGGGAGGAATGTGTTTTTGTGCAGGATCTCTTGGGATAGAGACACAAATCTTTGGGATCAGCATTTCCCTACAAAAGCACCCAATTTGCATTTGCCTCGATTGAATGACCACAGCTAACCCTGGACATTTGTATACTTGCAAGACCTGTGGTGGATTTCACAAGGGGAGAACAGAGGTGAAATTAAGGGAAAACAGCAAAAATGTATATTATAATAATAATAATAATAATCTTTATTTATACCCCACCACCATCTCTCCAATGGGGACTCGGAGTGGCTTACATTGGGGGGGGGGGGGGATTGATTGACAAATTCAGTCCAAAAATGTGTATATAAAAAGAACGCAAAAGTATAATGTAATGGTTCTGAAGGGCAATACTTTGAGGGATAGGAAACATTGGTATAATACAAGCATGGACCAACTTTGGCCCTCCAGGTGTTTTGGACTTTGACTCCCACAATTCCTAACAGCCTATTGGCTGTTAGGAATTGGGGGAGTCGAAGTCCAAAACACCTGGAGGGCCAAAGTTGGCTCAGGTCTGATACAGATGAATCAAAGGACCATAAAGAATATATATCCTGGGTTGCAGACAAGATAGGTTCTGTAGGGTTGTTTTTAAGTTGAATTTGTATGTAAGTCAGAAGTATTCTTGGTAGACACGGATTATCTTGCTCCGGCACAGTCTGGCTTTAGACCGGGACATGGAACGGAAACAGCCTTGGTCGCCTTGGTAGATGATCTGCGCAGGGAACTGGACAGGGGGAGTGTGTCCCTGTTAGTTCTGCTGGACCTCTTAGCGGCCTTTGATACCGTCACGGTATCCTTCTGGGACGCCTCGCGGGGATGGGTCTTGGAGGTACTGTTTTGCAGTGGCTCCGCTCATTCCTCGAGGGTCGGTCTCAGAAGGTGTTACTGGGAGACTCCTGTTCAACCCCACAACCATTGTCTTGTGGGGTTCCTCAGGGCTCAATATTGTCTCCCATGTTGTTTAACATCTACATGAAGCCGCTGGGGGAGATCATCCGGAGTTTCGGGGTACGGTGTCATCTGTACGCGGATGATGTCCAACTCTGTCACGCCTTTCCACCTGCTACTAAGGAGGCTGTCCAGGTCCTGAACCGGTGCTTGGCCGCTGTGACGGTCTGGATGAGGGCGAACAAATTGAAATTGAATCCAGACAAGACAGAGGTCCTCCTGGTCAGTCGCAAGGCCGAACAGGGCATAGGGTTACAGCCTGTGTTGGATGGGGCCGCACTCCCCCTGAAGACAGGTTCGCAGCTTGGGTGTGACCCTGGACTCATCGCTGAGCCTGGAACCCCAGGTTTCGGCGGTGACCAGGGGAGCATTTGCACAGCTAAAGCTTGTGCGCCAGCTGCGCCCGTACCTTGGGAAGTCTGACTTGGCCACGGTAGTCCACGCTCTGGTTACATCCCGTTTAGACTACTGCAACGCTCTCTACGTGGGGTTGCCTTTGAAGACAGCTCGGAAGCTCCAACTAGTCCAACGCTCGGCAGCCATGATTTTAACAGGAGCGGAGCGCAGGGAGCATACAACCCCCCTGTTGCGCCAACTCCACTGGCTACCGATCTGCTACCAGGCTGAATTCAAAGTGCTGGCGTTGGCCTTTAAAGCCCTAAACGGTTCCGGCCCAAGCTACCTATCTGACCGCATCTCTGCCTATGAACCCACCAGGACTTTGAGATCTTCCGGGGAGACCCTGCTCTCGATCCCGCCTGCTTCTCAAGCTCGGCTGGCGGGGACGAGAGATAGGGCCTTCTCGGTGGTGGCTCCTCAGCTGTGGAACGCCCTTCCTACGGACATTAGACTAGCACCATCTCTAATGGTATTCCGCAAAAAGGTGAAGACCTGGATGTTTGTGCAGGCGTTTGTGTAATTTAGTGCAATCTGGTAATGGAACATAGGAATGGAACAATGGACGACGAACCTGGACTACGCTTGGATGATGAGAAGATTGGGTACGGTTGTTTTTTGTAATAATTGTGCATTGTAATTGCTTATTGGTAATTTATGGATAATGTGTTAAGTCAATTGTTATATGTTGTATGGAACCACTGCTGTTTCTACTGTTTTTACTGTTTGTGAACCGCTGTGAGTCGCCTTCGGGCTTGAGATACAGCGGTATATAAGCAAAGTAAATAATAATAATAATAATAACAATAATAACAGGTACATTTTAAAGAGTCTAACTCCAGGCAAAAATATTTTTGTTTTAGTTTTGGATCGCATAGGGAGGGGAGAACGCTGATGCCTTTTCCCCATGGTAATAACTCTTTCAGGAGTGAATTTCCCTTCCTTCTGGTGGGCAACTTTCCTCCCACTTCCTGTTGCCTCGTTCCCTTTCTTAGATTTGAGTTGTATGTACAGCGTTCCCTTGCTACTTCGCAGTTTGCTTTTAGTAAACTCACTGTTTTGAGTGTTTTTGAAAGTATTAATATAAAATATTTGTTGCGGTTTATATGAAAGCTAACCCAGAAAACGTGCAGTCCTGTCCAGACTTCCCAGCCCTTTGTTTATCCACAAAGAGTAAATATGAGCCAAGTAAATGGGAAAAACAAAATTTACTCTTAAGTAACAGAGTTAAATAAGCAGCTTCACAAAAAATATCCAGCTTTGAAAATAATTCAGTCCATTTGCAGAAATAAAACTCACACAAAGTCCTATGCAATGAACACGCCAAGGGTCTGGAGAACAAGCCCTATGAGGAGCGGCTTAAGGAGCTGGGCATGTTTAGCCTGAAGAAGAGAAGGCTGAGAGGAGATATGATAGCCATGTATAAATATGTGAGAGGAAGACACAGGGAGGAGGGAGCAAGCTTGTTTTCTGCTTCCATGGAGACTAGGACGCGGAACAATGGCTTCAAACTACAAGAGAGGAGATTCCATCTGAACATGAGGAAGAACTTCCTGACTGTGAGAGCCGTTCAGCAGTGGAACTCTCTGCCCCGGAGTGTGGTGGAGGCTCCTTCTTTGGAAGCTTTTAAACAGATGCTGGATGGCCATCTGTCAGGGGTGATTTGAATGCAATATTCCTGCTTCTTGGCAGAATGGGGTTGGACTGGATGGCCCAGGAGGTCTCTTCTAACTCTAGGATTCTATGATTCTATCTTCTTCTTCTTCCTCAATGGTGCAAGGAGACAAGTCTTGAAGCAAGTGGTTCAGTAAGTCTCAAAATCCATTAGTAACACTCCTCATGTTATCCTCCATTCAGGAAGTGGTTCAGGCTTGATTGCTTCAATTATCCAGGTGTTTTTCCTCAACACACACACAGGAGATGATCCTTATAAAACTTAGTCATATACATGCATATACTGTAACATTATTTACGTCCAGTGGAGGCCAGGGACCCCAGAAGTGCGGCGGCCTGAGGCATGGCAGGGAAGGCCTGCCTCCGTGGCCTGCTGCTGCCTGCGTGGCTCTGGAGGCTGCACCAGAGTCTGCGGAGGCCAGGGAGGCAGGCAGGTGCCCTTGGGATGGGCCGGGAGGCGGGTAAGGAAGAGCGGATAAGGAAACAATATATAAAATAATGTATAAATATTAAAATTAAAATTGTGTCCCTACTTCCGGATTTTCACTTACCACGGGTTGTCCTGGAACAGAACCCCCACGATAAGTGAGGGAACAGCCCTATACACTTCAGGTCCAACCTATCTTCGAAACCACATTTCCTTCTATGAACCAGCACGGGCTTTAAGATCTACTGGGGAGGTCCTCCTCTCGCTCCCATCTCTGTCTCAAGTGCGGTTGGTGGGGATGTGAGAGAAGGGGCCTTCTCGGTGGTGGCCCCCTGGCTTTGGAATGCCCTCCCAAGGAAGATCAGGCTAGCTCCCACCCTCCAAGCCTTCTGCACACAATTAAAGACCTGGCTTTTCCAACAAACCTTTGACTATGTTTAGACGCTCTAATAATATATATGAGGACCTTTAAATTCTTTATTAGCACTTTATACTTCTGAGATTGAATATTGCTGGTTTATCTACAGCAATTGCTGTATTTTATTGTTTTTATCAGAGGGTACTGTGAATTTATGATGTTGTGTTGATTTTTTATTTTCTACTCGTATGTTTTGTTTTGCACTTGTTGTATTTTGCATGACACACCTCGAGTGTTTTGTGAGCCGCAACGAGTCCCTCTGGACTCACAGTGGCGCAGTGGGTTAAACCGCTGAGCTGCTGAACTTGCTGAGGTCGCAGGGAGAGGCACGAGCTTCCGCTGTTAGCCCCAGCTTCTGCCAACCTAGCAGTTCGAAAACATTCAAATGTGAGTAGATCAATAGGTACCACTCTGGTGGGAAGGTAATGGTGTTCCATGCAGCCATGCCGGCCACGTGATCTTGGAGGTGTCTACGGACAACGCTGGCTCTTTGGCTGAAAAATGGAGATGAGCATCAACCCCCAGAGTCAGACACGACTGGACTTAACGTCATGGGAAAACCTTTACCTTTACCTACCTTGAGAAAAACAAGGTAGGTAAAGGTAAAGCTGCCCCAAGTCCCTCTTGAACTCACTAGAAACATTCAAAAAGAACCTTAAAACCTGGCTCTTCCGCTGCGCCTTTGGTGAGTATGTGTATAACATTTATTTATTTATTTATTTATTTGGGGTGCTTCTACCCCGCCCTTCTCAACCCCCTAGGGGGGACTCAGGGCAGCTTACAAAAGGCACAATTCGATGCCTAACAATTACAACATACAATGGAATATACAATACACAAATTTACCATATAAAATCACAGTTATCACTAATTAAAACAATCAACAATATATTAGCAGCAATAAAACATCGTGTGGTCATTGTTCACCAAATGCAGTCCGTAAACCATTTAGCATTGTCATTGTCCTTTCCTACTCTGGTCATTATTCGTTGTCTTTGTCCATCTGCCAGCTTACCCGAAAGCCTGATCCCACATCCAGGTTTTTAGCTTCTTCCTGAAGGAGAGGAGGGATGTTGATGTCCTAATCTCCCCGGGGAGTGCATTCCACAGGCGAGGGGCCACCACTGAGAAGGCCCTGTCCCTCGTCCCCACCCGTCTCGCTTGTGATAAAGGTGGGGCCGAGAGCAGGTACATGATACTATTGCTCCCGTCAATGCTTCTGCCACTGGAGTACATGCCCTCCAAATGGGAAGTTTAGTTTTACAACTCTGTTTGTTTTTATGAGCTCCCTGCAATTAACCTGTTCCTATTTTTATCTCATTAGAATCTTTTAATTGTTTTATCCTGTACATGTGGCCCACCCACTGTTATCGTGACTGTGTTTATTGGAATGTGTTTTTTTTCCTTCTCTATAATTTCGATGATGTTGTTTGTTGTTTATGTTTTTGGTTTTATTCTGTTGTAATATGTTGTCCGGGCTTGGCCCCATGTAAGCCGCTCCGAGTCCCTGCTGGAGAGATGGTGTCGGGGTATAAATAAATATTATTATTATTATTATTATTGTTATTATTGGTGGCGGGATAGAAGTAAAAGGTTGTCGTTGTTGTTGTTGTTGTTATATTGGATGTCTGTAACTTGGGGACGTCCTGTATTGAAATACATAGGACAAAGATTAAAACACGGATACTAATAATATAAAATGCAAAGTTTAAAAGTGACTGGGTGCCCTGAAGATCTCAAGTGCCAGGGGAACCTTATATGGGCGATTATAATATTTCAAATGACCTGCAATACAGCTACCGGACTTGTAATAAATACAGTTGTTTGCTTCTTTTGTGGCCTTCCTCTGGCCTTGCCATAACATAACCTGCTCTTCAATCCAATCCACAGAGCTCTCTCAAGGCGGGTGCATGAGTTCCTTCAGGTGGAATCGAGGCGGAGACTTCAAAGCTCGCAAATGGGACACCGATTTGCCAACGGATTCGGCCGTAAGTCTTGAATGCTGCCAGGATTTGCAAAAAGGCCCCCCATAACCACACAACGCATAGCAGGCATGGGCAAAACTTGGAATTGTGGGAGTTGAAATCCAAAACACCTGGAGCGCTAAACTTTGCCCATACTTGATCATAATACTATGTCAATATTATTGTTTATTTGTATTTAATTAGATATAAATATTGCTATTTTATAGTTCAGTACATCTGTCATGTGTTGCAGCGGAAGTACTACTGGTAAATGCATCCGTCTTGGCTTCACTGGAAAATATTTTTGGGGTAGGGCTTGCATTACCAGCATCATAGGATAGGCTTGACTGCAATTCTGTATAGTCTTCGGCCACAGAGTGGAGCTCTTTCTCTTCCTTCAGATCCTGATGCACGTCTTCTGCACATACCTGGATGCCCGGCTGCCTCCTCACCCGAAATACCCCGATGGCAAAACATTCACCTCTCAGCACTTCATTCAGACACCTGATAAGCCAGGTAATGAAAATAGTTCAACATTTCTATTAGGTGCATGGCAGTAATAGCAGTGGTTCTGCAGTGTCTATGCAAAGGACTGTCCCACCCCCTTCCAAAACCCATAACATATTATTATTATTATATTCCTATTATTAAGGAGCCCTCACTGCCGCAAACCTTTGTGCCGGCAGGACTGAAGACCGACAGGTCGGAGGTTTGAATCCCGGATGAGCTCCCTCTGTCAGCTCCAGCTCCCCATGTGGGGACATGAGTGAAGCCTCCCACAAGGATGGCAAAACATCCTGGCATCCCCTGGGCAGTGCCCTTGCAGACAGCCAATTCTCTCACACCAGAAGCGACTTGCAGTTTCTCAAGTCGCTCCTGACACGAAATAATAATAATTGTTGCTATTATTATTATTATTATTACCATCCTTGAAGTGACTGGATTGACCTTGAAGGAGCTGGGGGTGGTGACGACCGACAGGGAGCTCTGGTGTGGACTGATCCATGAAGTCACAAACAGATGAGCACCACCTCCAGAGCCGGAAATGAAAGGAGAAGGCTTTGCCTTTATCTTTGTAGTTGTCTCATTGTATGTCATTGTAATCAAGGCATTGAATGTTTACCTGTGTTTGTTTATATACTGTAATCCACTCAGAGTCCCTTGGGGAGAAGGGCCAAATATAAATAAAGTGTTATTATTATATACTAGCCGTCCCCTGCCACATGTAGCTATGGCCCAGTCTGTGTATATGTATTTCTGTGTGTATATGTGTGTGTGTTTATATGTATATATGTGGTTTGGCGCATGCATTGTTATGTTGTTGTGTTGTTTTTTTGGCTTTTTAAATCTCTTCTGCTGTGGTTTTCAGTGTTTTTATGAGTGACTAGCCGCCCCCTGCCATGTGTTGCTGTGGCCCAGTATGTGTATATGTGTTTTGTGTGTGTGTGTATGTGTATATGTGTATATTTCCATCTGAACATGAGGAAGAACTTCCTGACTGTGAGAGCCGTTCAGCAGTGGAACTCTCGCCCCGGAGTGTGGTGGAGGCTGTTCAAAGGCACAAAAACAAATAATGCCCTCCAGGTGTTTTGGACTCCCAACTCCCAAAACCTATATAAATGGAATATTGTGTTCCAATTCTGGGCACCACAATTCAAGAGAGATATTGACAAGCTGGAATGTGTCCAGAGGAGGGCGACTAAAAGGATCAAGGGTCTGGAGAACAAGCCCTATGAGGAGCGGCTTAAGGAGCTGGGCATGTTTAGCCTGAAGAAGAGAAGGCTGAGAGGAGATATGATGAGGACCATGTATAAATATGTGAGAGGAAGCCACAGGGAGGAGGGAGCAAGCTTGTTTTCTGCTTCCCTGGAGACTAGGACGTGGAACAATGGCTTCAAACTACAAAAAGGAGATTCCATCTGAACATGAGGAAGAACTTCCTGACTGTGAGAGCCGTTAGCAGTGGAACTCTCTGCCCCGGAGTGTGGTGGAGGCTCCTTCTTTGGAAGCTTTTAAACAGAGGCTGAGATGGCCATCTGTCAGGGGTGATTTGAATGCAATATTCCTGCTTCTTGGCAGAATGGGGTTGGACTGGATGGCCCAGGAGGTCTCTTCCAACTCTTTGATTCTATGATTCTATGATATATGTGGTTCTACACATGTGTTGTAATGTATTTTTTATTTTTTGGATTTTTAAGTCTCTTTCGCTGTGTTTTTCAGTGTTTTTATGAGTGATGGTCACTCGTTGGCCTTATAGGTGTGTTGTGTCCAAATTTGGTGTCAATTCGTTCAGTGGTTTTTGAATTATGTTAATCCTACAAACGAACACTACATTTTTATTTATATAGATCAGGGGTCCTCAAACTTTTTAAACGGAGGGCCAGGTCACAGTCCCTCGAAATGTTGGAGGGCCGGATTATAATTTGAAAAAAGCATGAATGAATTCCTATGCACACCACACATATCTTATTTGTAGTGCAAAACCACCTTAAAATAATACATTAATTAAAATGAAGAACAATTTTAACAAATACTAACTTATTTATTGTCGAAGGCTTTCATGGCTGGAATCACTAGGTTCTTGTGGTTTTTTTCGGGCTATAGAGCCATGTTCTAGGGCATTTCTCCTGACGTTTCGCCTGCATCTATGGCAAGCATCCTCAGAGGTTGAGAAGGTCTCAACCTCTGCGGATGCTTGCCATAGATGCAGGCGAAACGTCAGGAGAAATGCCTCTAGAACATGGCTCTATAGCCCGAAAAAACCCACAAGAACCTACTAACTTATTTGTTTGTATGGGAAGTGTGGGCCTGCTTTTGGCTGATGAGATAGATAGGATTGTTTTATTTATTTATTTATTTATAAATCGTTTTTCATTGAAATATTTGAAAATTACAACGAAGAGGGTGAATATTGAAAAAGAAGATAGAACAGTAGGAAAAGAGAGAGAGCACCGCCACCCCACCCCACTATTTATTTATTTATTTATTATTCGAACTTATATGCTGCCACTCCCCTGGGGCTTGGAGCGGCTTACAAGAATGGCTAAAATCTAACACAATTTAAAAACAATTTAAAAACAGCAATATCAAAAATCAAAGGCCTGTCGAAACAGGTATGTCTTACATGCCCTGCGGAAAGCTGATAAGTCCCGCAAGGCACAGACTTCAGGTGGCAGAGTATTCCAGAGTGATGGTGCCACTGCTGTGAAGGCTCTGCGTCTGGTTGCTGTTAGACGCAAGGTCTTGACACTGGGAACTTCCAATAGATCTTGGTCCTCAGAACGGAGGGATCTCTGTGGTTGGTAGGGGTGAGGCGGTCCCTCAGATACATCGGCCCCAGACCATGCAAGGCCTTAAAGGTGAGTACCATCACTTTGAAAGTGATCCGGTGCTCAATTGGTAACCAATGCAGCTGTAGTAAGATTGGGGTTATGTGGCATCTCATCGGAATTCCCGCAAGAAGCCGAGCAGCTGCATTTGTACCAACTTGAGCTTCTGGATCACCGACAGAGGAAGGCCAATGTAGAGGGCGTTACAGTAGTCCAGTCTTGAGATGACTGTGGCCTGGATCACTGTAGCCAAGTCGTCCCTGGACAGGGAGGGGGCCAGCCGTCTAGCCTGCCGCAGGTGAAAGAAGACAGTACTGCTCACGGTGGAGACCTGGGCCTCCATCCTCAGCAGAGGGTCCAAAAGGACTCCCAGACTCTTGACCAACGATGACGGGCGTAGCGCCTCGCCATCCAGGGTAGGCAGATGGATGTCCCCACTGCCCGGTCGACCCAGCCATAGGATCTCCGTCTTTGCTGGATTCACCCTCAACCTGCTGGCACGCTGTTGTTGTTGTGTGCTTTCAAGACTTAGGTTGACCTTAAGCGAGGGCCGGTTAAATGACCTTGGAGGGCCGTATCCGGCCCTTGGGCCTTAGTTTGAGGACCCTTGATATAGATGGTCACTTGTTGGCTTGTTAGGTATATTGTGACCAAATTTCATATCAATTTGTTGAGTGTGTTTTGAGTTACGTTAATCCCACAAACGAACAGTACATTTTTATTTATATAAATATATCTATATCTATATAAATATAGATATATAGGTTGGACTGTGTAATACCGATCTGCTACCGGGCTGAATTCAAAGTGCTGGCGTTGGCCTTTAAAGCCCTAAACGGTTCCGGCCCAAGCTACCTATCTGACCGCATCTCTGCCTATGAACCCACCAGGACTTTGAGATCTTCCGGGGAGACCCTGCTCTCGATCCCGCCTGCTTCTCAAGCTCGGCTGGCGGGGACGAGAGATAGGGCCGTCTCGGTGGTGGCTCCTCGGCTGTGGAACGCCCTTCCTACGGACATTAGACTAGCACCATCTCTAATGGTATTCCGCAAAAAGGTGAAGACCTGGATGTTTGTGCAGGCGTTTGAGTAATTTAGTGCCATCTGGTAATGGAACATAGGAATGGAACAATGGACGACGAACCTGGACTACGCTTGGATGATGAGAAGATTGGGTACGGTTGTTTTTCGTAATAATTGTGCATTGTAATTGCTTATTGGTAATTTATGGATAATGTGTTAAGTCAATTGTTATATGTTGTATGGAACCACTGCTGTTTCTACTGTTTTTACTGTTTATGAACCGCCGTGAGTCGCCTTCGGGCTTGAGATACAGCGGTATATAAGCAAAGTAAATAAATAATAAATAATAATGGTAATAATAATGTCCCATTTTTAATCTCTTAACTGACATACAAAGTGGCTCATAGCATTAAGAAAAAAGAAAGAATGCAATTTAAAACCCACAAATATACAATTAAACATATAAATCAGTTCAGAGCATTTGAAACACTTGAAATCATGGAAGAGTTTCTTTGTATGGAGCCTGGAGCCACACGAAGCCGTCAGTCCTGGAAATTGTCTGTTATTGCTTCTATTTCACCATTTTATGGTACTTTCAAAAGTGAAGCAGGGAGGGCGCAATGGATTTCACTGAACTAAAACCATGGATTTGTTCCCCACAGACGTTTCCAATGAGAACTTGTTCTGCATCTACCAGAGCAGCGTCAACCCTCCCCATTACGAACTTGTTTACCAACGGCAAGTCTACAATCTGCCAAAGGTAAGGATGGGACCGCTTTGTAGGGACTCCTCCCAGAACAGTGGAAAAACCCAGGCTGAAAATGGTGTCAAAAGCTTCCAGGGAAGCCCCCACTGAGTGGAAACTTTGCTTGTCTGTACTAAGTGGATATTTCCATGAAATCTCCACACTCCTTTGCCTGGGGGACTTGCAAGGGTAAATTCTTTTAACATCATAGAGGTATTTCTGCTGCTTTCTAGAGTGAAAACCACTCTTCTTCCCAGGAAACTGGGATTGGTGGATGTTCTGATATGTAAGTGGGACACTAAGAGATTTGGCTGTTAAAGATGCTGGCCATGCTTACCCCATTCTTAAAAGAATATGTCCATTCCCTTCCCCCTTTTTATTATTTTCCCTTATTTATTTATCGTGTCATCAGCAACCATACCATTGTATTACATTTCTAACAGAACAAAACAAACAACAGATTAAAAAAGACACGAAGTTTGCAAACTTGGTAGCTGATTAAAAGTCCTTTGACCCGTATCTGGCCACTTGGAGTGCCTCTGGTGTTGCCGCAAGGAGGTCCTCCTTTGTGCATGTGGCAGGGCTCTGGTGGCATTGCAGCAGGTGGTCACTGGTTTGCTCCTCTCCGCACTCGCATGTCGTGGACTCCACTTTGTAGCCCCATTTCTTGAGGTTGGCTCTGATTAAAAGTCCTTTGACCCGTATCTGGCCACTTGGAGTGCCTCTGGTGTTGCCGCAAGGAGGTCCTCCTTTGTGCATGTGGCAGGGCTCTGGTGGCATTGCAGCAGGTGGTCAGTGGTTTGCTCCTCTCCGCACTCGCATGTCGTGGACTCCACTTTGTAGGCCCCATTTCTTGAGGTTGGCTCTGCATCTCGTGGTGCCAGAGCGCAGTCTGTTCAGCGCCTTCCAAGTCGCCCAGTCCTCTGTGTGCCCAGGGGGGAGTCTCTCATTTGGTATCAGCCATTGGTTGAGGTTCTGGGGTTGAGCCTGCCACTTTTGGACTCTCGCTTGCTGAGGTGTTCCAGCGAGTGTCTCTGTAGATCTTAGAAAACTATTTCTTGATTTAAGTCGTTGACGTGCTGGCTGATACCCAAACAAGGGATGAGCTGGAGATGTCTCTGCCTTGGTCCTTTCACTATTGGCTGCTACTTCCCGGCAGATATCAGGTGGTGCAATACCAGCTAAGCAGTGTAATTTCTCCAGTGGTGTAGGGCGCAGACACCCTGTGATAATGTGGCATGTCTCATTAAGAGCCACACCCACTCAGAGGGTAATTCTCCCCAATGCCCCCCCCCCCCATCCTGGAAATTTATTTATTTATTTCCTCCATTTGTAATCCACCCTTCTCACCCCCGAGGGAGGACTCAGGGCGGCCTTACAACAAGCACCATTTGGTGCTGTCACAATTACAAACATTCAACAATACAATTAAAAACAATAAACAATTAATTAAAAGAGTTAATTAAGAATAGTCAACTAAAACAATCTATTAAAACATGCCAATTGAAATCCAAAACCAGGTCCAGATCAATTCATTATCGCGAGTTGCTTAAATCTTCTTCTTACATTGCTGCTATTCAAGGGTCGAACGCTTGGTCCCATAGCCAAGTCTTGAGTTTCCTTCTAAAGACTTGGCTATGAGACCAAGCGTTTGACCATTGAATAGCAGCTAAAAGACAGGAGGGAGGTGGCCAGTCTGATGTCCCTGGAGAAGGAATTCCACAGATGGGGGGCCACTGCTGAGAAGGCCCTGTCCCTTGTCCCCACCAATCGCGTTTGGTACCAGAAAGGAGATTCCATCTGAACATTAGGAAGAACTTCCTGACTGTGAGAGCCGTTCAGCAGTGGAACTCTCTGTCCCAGAGTGTGGTGGAGGCTCCTTTGGAAGCTTTTAAACAGAGGCTGGATGGCCATCTGTTGGGGGTGCTTCCTGTGGAGGGAATTCCTCAGATGGAGGGGCCACTGCTGAGAAGGCCCTGTCCCTCATCCCCACCAGTTGTGTTCACTACAAGAAAGGAGATTCCACCTGAACATTAGGAAGAACTTCCTGACTATGAGAGCTGTTCAGCAGTGGAACTCTCTGCCCCGGAGTGTGGTGGAGGCTCCTTCTTTGGAAGCTTTTAAACAGAGGCTGGATGACCATCTGTCAGGGGTGCTTTGAATGCAATTTCCTGCTTCTTGGCAGAGGGGTTGGACTGGATGCCATGAGGTCTCTTCCAACTATCTATGATTCTATGAAATGATCAGGCCCTCTCCAGATGATCTTAGCTATCGGGCAGGTTGATATGAGGAGATACAGACTAGGTAACCTGGGCCAGAACATTTTGCCAGGAGGAGGGAGCAAGCTTGTTCTGTGCTTCCATTGTTTAGAGGAACAATGGCTTCAAACTACAGGAAAGGCGATTCCATCTGAACATGAGGAAGAACTTCCTGACTGTGAGAGCCGTTCAGCAGTGGAACTCTCTGCCCCGGAGTGTGGTGGAGGCTCCTTCTTTGGAAGCTTTTAAACAGAGGCTGGATGGCCATCTGTCAGGGGTGATTTGAATGCAATATTTCTGCTTCTTGGCAGAATGGGGTTGGACTGGATGGCCCAGGAGGTCTCTTCCAACTCTTTGATTCTATGATTCTATGATTTTGCCTGGTCTAAATGCAAAATGTGTGACTCTTCTCTTGTTCTTTTTCATTTCTGGATTTAGGGCAGAAACAACTTGTTCCACACTTTGCTCATGTTCCTGTACATCATAAAGACCAAGGAATCTGGGATGCTGGGGTAGGTATCATGTATTCTTTATGCTTCCATCCCCTAATCCAGTGTTTCTCAACCTTCCTCGTGCCATGCCCCCCTTAATACACTTCCTCATGTGGTGGTGGCCCCCAACCATAACATTTTCGTTGCTACGTCTTAACTGTAATTTTGCTCCTGTTATGAATCGTCATGTAAATATCTGATATGCAGGATGTATTTTCATTCACTGGACCTAATTTGGCACAAATACCCGATATGCCAATATTAGTGGGATTGGGGGGGGGGGGTTGATTTTGTCATTTGGGAGTTGTAGTTGCTGGGATTTATAGTTCACCTACAATCAAAGAGCATTCTGAAGTCCACCAATGATGAAATTGAACCAAACTTGGCACACAGAACTCCCATGACCAACAGAAAATACTGGTTGGTAGACATTGACCTTGAGTTTGGGAGTTGTAGTTCACCTACATCCAGACATCAAACAATGATGGATCTGGACCAAACTTGGCACAATACTCAATATGCCCAAATGTGAACACTGGTGGAGTTTGGGGAAAATAGACCTTGACATTTGGGAGTTGTAGTTGCTGGGATTAATAGTTCACCTACAATCAAAGAGCATTCTGAACTCCACCAACAACGGAATTGAACCAAACATGGCACACAGAACTCCCATGATGAAGAAAAAATACTGGTTTGGTGGACACTGACCTTGAGTTTTGGAGTTGTAGTTCACCCACATCCAGACATCAAACAATGATGGATCTGGATCAAACTTGGCACGAATGCTCAATATGCCCAAATGTAAACACTGGTGGAGTTTGCGGAAAATCGTCCTTGGGGAAAATAGAACTTGACATTTGGGAATAGTAGTTGCTGGGATTTATAGTTCACCTACAATCAAAGAGCATTCTGAACTCCACCAACAATGGAATTGAACCAAACATGGCACACAGAACTCCCATGCACAAGAGAAAATGCTGGTTTGGTGGACACTGACCTTGAGTTTTGGAGTTGTAGTTCACCTACATCCAGACATCAAACAATGATGAATCTGGATCAAACTTGGCATGGATACTCAGTATGCCCAAATGTGAACACTGGTGGAGTTTGGGGAAAATAGACCTTGACATTTGGGAGTTGTAATTGCTGGGATTTCTAGTTCACCTACAATCAAAGAGCATTCTGAACTCCACCAAAAATGGAACTGAATGAAACATGGAACACAGAACTCCCATGCCCAAGAGAAAATACTGGTTTGGTGGACACTGACCTTGAGTTTTGGAGTTGTAGTTCACCTACATCTAGAGAGCACTGTGGAAAATAGACCTTGACACTTGGGAGTTGTAGTTGCTGGGATTTATAGTTCACCTACAATCAAAGAGCATTCTGAACTCCACCAACAATGGAATTGAACCAAACATGGCACACAGAACTCCTATGACCAAGAGAAAATACTGTATTTTCTGGTGGTCTTTGGTGAGCCCTTTGACACCCCCTTGTGACCCCTCCCCTCAGGGGTCCCGACCCACAGGTTGAGAAACACTGGCCTAATCCTAACTGGGATCTTTTGGGACATATAACTTTTCCAAGCGAGCAGTATCCAATCCTCCTGTAGCTTTTATACAGAGAGAAAGCAGTGAATGCTCAGCTCCCTGCTGCCTTGCTTTCAAGGACTTGCTGGCTGTTATCATCACCTTGTTCAGCGACAGGGATTGTTTTTATCAAATCAGCCCCACGGAAGAGGGTTCCTATCAGCAGAACTGAACAAAGAGGCCTTTCTTTCATTCTTCAGCATCATCTCCTGCTCTTTGTCGCTATCTGTGACCCAACAATCTGTTTTGGAACATTTGCAATGAAGACCCACTGCTACTATTAGCTGAAACAGGGAGGAATTTTCTCATGCCATTGTTTGAAGACTAATGTAAATAGTTGGATTCTATGTCATGGGTTAATATTTCAATATAATTTTGAAAATCCCGCAGCAGTTGAATGCAAAACAGCTGCAAGTGGGTTCCTTTTCCTAGAATTCTGCAGTTCCTGACACTTGTAGACTATATATATGTGTGTGTGTGATTTCCTGGGTGTGTTTTCCCATGTTGTCTCTCAGAGTTGACGTCAATTACAGGCCTCCAATAAATCAGTACAGGCTGTCCCTGAGTTACAAACAATTCTTAACTAGGGAATTGTTTGTAAGTCAGATGTTTGTAACTCAGGGATAGCCTGTACTGATTTATTTATTTATTTTATTTATCATGTCATCAGCAACCAGGCAGTTGAATTACATTTTTAACAAAACAAACAAACAAACAGACAGACAGACAAAACACAAAGTTTGCAAGTTTGGTAGTTGATTAAATGTCCTTTGACCAGTATCTGGCCACTTGGAGTGCCTCTGGTGTTGCTGCAAGAAGGTCCTCCATTGTGCATGTGGCAGGGCTCAGGGTGCATTGCAGCAGACGGTCTGTAGTTTGCTCTCTTCTCCCCACTCGCATGTTGTGGATTCCACTTTGTGGCCCCATTTCTTGAGGTTGGCTCTGCATCTCGTGGTGCCAGAGCGCAGTCTGTTCAGCGCCTTCCAGTTTGCGCCTTCTGTGTGCCCAGGGGGGAGTCTCTCATTTGGTATCAGCCATTGATTGAGGTTCTGGGTTTGAGCCTGCCACTTTTGGACTCTCGCTTGCTGAGGTGTTCCAGCGAGTGTCTCTGTAGATCTTAGAAAACTATTTCTTGATTTAAGTCGTTGATGTGCTGGCTGATACCCAAACAAGGGATGAGCTGGAGATGTCTCTGCCTTGGTCCTTTCACTATTGGCTGCTACTTCCCGGCGGATGTCAGGTGGTGCAATACCGGCTAAGCAGTGTAATTTCTCCAGTGGTGTAGGGCGCAGACACCCTGTGATAATGCAGCATGTCTCATTAAGAGCCACATCCACTGTTTTAGTGTGGTGAGATGTGTTCCACACTGGGCATGCATACTCAGCAGCAGAGTAGCATAGCGCAAGGGCAGATGTCTTCACTGTGTCTGGTTGTGATCCCCAGGTTGTGCCAGTCAGCTTTCGTATGATATTGTTTCTAGTGCCCACTTTTTGCTTGATGTTCAGGCAGTGCTTCTTGTAGGTCAGAGCACGGTCCAGAGTGACTCCCAGTTATTTGGGTGCGCTGCAATGCTCCAGTGGGATTCCTTTCTAGGTAATAATCCTCAGAGCTCGGGATGCTTGTCTGTTCTTAAGGTGAAAAGCACATGTCTATGTTTTAGATGGGTTGGGGATCAGTTCGTTTCCCCTGTAATAGGCAGTAAGGGCACCTAGAGCTTTGGAGAGCTTCTGTTCTACCATCTCAAAGCTCCCTGCTTGAGCGGTAATGGCATGATCATCTGCATAGATGAAAGTCTCTGTCCCTTCTGGCAGTGGCTATATATTATTGTGAGTATATAACTGTAATTTTTTTTTGATAAGGGCACTCCGTCCCTTCTGGCAGTGGCTGGTAATTTGTGTAAATGTACTGATGAAGCATGTATCAACTTATACTGTACTGATGAAGCATGTATAAACTTATATGTTGCAGGCGTGTCAATCTTGGCTTATCTGGTGTGAACGTCCTGTGGATTTTTGGCGACTAGATCACTTGGAAGTCGCTACAGAAGAACTCTTGTTGGACCGCGGAATAAAAACATCTCCATTGGAAAAAGAGAGAAGTTGGCAGCGCATGATTTGGAGATACAGCAAGAGTTCTTCAAAGCAAAACAAATAATGAAACACTGGAATGAATAGGAAATACTTTTTAATATAGACGCGGAAGCATCTTGGTATGCAAACATGACAAAGATCAAGGTGGAAAACTTCCATTATTTCTGGATTGAAGGAACGGCAGCTTCGGATATTAAAACAGCTACTGGGCAGAAGTGGCTTCTTGTAGAGAAATAATAAACTTTATTATGGGGAGAAAAGGGGAGGAAAGACGCCTTGGATGGAAAATACGTTTTGCCCAGAGACGGATGCATGAATGAACATTACTGAACTGGATTAAGAGCATCCAAGAAGAGTGCGAACTCACTGTTTTAATCAGAGCAGAAGAAAGTGCGTCTTGCAAGGCCCATGGGGATAGAATAAACCAAGAATGTCCAAGTTCTCCTGGTCAGAAAGGTATGTGCCTTCCATCAAGCGCACAAAAACTGCTTGGTGTGCTTTTATGTTTTTATAAAGGGACAGTACTATAGTTCTGCACGTGTCGTTTCCTCTGCAAACACTGAGAATGGGACTCTCAAGAAGAAAATGTATTGTCGAAGGCTTTCATGGCCGGAATCACTGGGTTGTTGTGTGTTTTCCGGGCTGTATGGCCATGTTCCAGAAGCATTCTCTCCTGACGTTTTGCCTGCATCTATGACAGGCATCCTCTGAGGATGCCTGTCATAGATGTAGGCAAAACGTCAGGAGAGAATACTTCTGGAACATGGCCATACAGCCTGGAAAACACACAACAACCCAAAATAAATGCTATTATTTTTAAGGGAAGGGCTGCGGCCACTCAACAGCAGGTCAATCAGAGAAAAGAAAGCAGCACCGACTACATGCAAAGAGATAAAAGGGCATGTTTTAGTACTTCAGAGGATATTTCTCCAAGATTTTTGGCCTCAATTTTTGCAGTAATTTTTCTAAATCCTTGGAACAGGCTTTTCTTTTGTTCCAAACTGTACTGCAAATAATAATAATACAAAGGTTTCCATGACTCTGTTACCTGAGCAGGTAGGCTGCTCCCTCTCCTCCCAAAATTATATGATCGCAAGAGATGATGCTGCCCACTGAGTTAATACTATTAAATAGAAGCAGAGGTAGCTATTTTTTTAAAAATGAGCTTGGAAAAATATTTTTCTGGGTGAATGCCCATTTCTTTAGGTTACCAGCAGAAGTCCATCAGTAAGGTTTCCTGGCCAAGCTGATAGACATCTGGACACTGCACCCTCTTTATTAGGATCGAAATCTGGATATTGAGTCCTATATATTAAGATTGAAATCTGGGCATTGAGTCCAATATATTAGGATAGAAAACTGGTTATTGAGTCCAATATATTAGGATCAAAATCTGGATATTGAGTTGTACATATTGGGATAGAAATCTAGATATCGAGTCCTATATATTAAGATCAAAATCTGGATACCGAGTCCTATATATTGGAATAGAAATCTGGATACTGAGTCCTATATATTGAAATACAAGTTTGGATACTGAGTCCTATATAATGGGATAGAAGTCTGGATGTCGAGTCCTATATATTGGGATTGAAATCTGGAGATTGAGTCCTATATATTAAGATCAAAATCTGGATGTTGAGTCCTATATATTGGGATCGAAATCTGGATATCGAGTCCTATATATTAAGATTGGAATCTGAATACGAAGTCTTATATATTGGGATCGAAATCTGGAGATTGAATCGTATTAAGATCAAAATCTGGATACTGAGTCCTATATATTGGGATCGAAATCTGGATATCGAGTCCTATATATTGGGATCGAAATCTGAATATTGAGTCCTATATATTGGGATCGAAATCTGGATAATAAGTCCTATATATTGAGATCAAAATCTGGATATCGAGTCCTATATATTGGAATCGAAATCTGGATACTAAGTCCTATATATTAAGATTGAAATCTGGATACTGAGTCCTATATATTGGGATCAAAATCTGAATGTTGAGCCCTATATATTGGGATCAAAATCTGGGTATTGAGTCCTATATATTATGATTGAAATCTGGATACTAACTCCTATATATTGGGACTGAAATCTGGAGATTTGAGTCGTGTATATTAAGATCGATATCTGGATACTGAGTCCTATATATTAAGATCGAAATCTGGATACTAAGTCCTATATATTGGGATCGAAATATAGATATGGAGTCCTGACGTCATAGTCCTTTATATCCCAATGTGTAAGTGGCCTTTCCAGCCATGCTGTCCTTTTGTCAGGGAAAACGAGACCTTTGCTGATAACTTGGTGCTGTCATTAAATGGATTATTTTTTGGTAAAACGTCTGTTTTGATGCGTGTCTGTGTCCACATGGATTTTGAGTCTTATATTTGAGGAGTGATTTCATCTGCAGAGAGTCCTGTTTCTAACAGTAGTACTGAGGACGGTTTCATGTACTTTGTTCACATTATGTCCGGTCCCTATTCATACTCACAGGCTATGCTTTTGGGGCTTCCAGAGTTAGATGAAAAATTGTCTCATAGTTTGTAAGAAATTGTCACATCCTTTCAACATTATGCTTGCTTCAAATATTCAGGAAACTACACATATGTAAGTAGGTCATCCAAATGGGTTGCTGAGACAGTGGCTCCTTAGCTTTCACAAAATTATTTTTGTGTATAATATTTGTATGAAATGTAAAGGAATTTGGTTGTTCAATGAGATATCTAGGGTCTCATCTCCAAGATAATCTCATTATGTTGTTGTTGTTGTTCATTCGTTCAGTCGTCTTCGACTCTTCGTGACCTCATGGACCAGCCCACGCCAGAGCTCCCTGTCGGCCGTCACCACCCCCAGCTCCTTCAAGGTCAGTCCAGTCACTTCAAGGATGCCATCCATCCATCTTGCCCTTGGTCGGCCCCTCTTCCTTTTGCCTTCCACTTTCCCCAGCATAATTGTCTTCTCTAGGCTTTCCTGTCTCCTCATGATGTGACCAAAGTACTTCAACTTTGTCTCAGTATCTTTCCCTCCAGTGAGCTGTCGGGCTTTATTTCCTGGAGGATGGACTGGTTGGATCTTCTCGCAGTCCAAGGCACTCTCAGAACTTTCCTCCAACACCACAGCTCAAAAGCATCGATCTTCCCTCGCTCAGCCTTCCCTAAGGTCCAGCTCTCACATCCGTAGGTTACTACAGGGAATACCATGGCTTTGACTAGGCGGATCTTTGTTGCCAGTCTGATGTCTCTACTCTTTACTATTTTATCGAGATTGGACATTATGTACCTACATGAAAATACTGGTATTCCAAGATCAAGACATTCCAAAGTCAAGGGCAAGGTGGATGGATGGCATCCTTGAAGTGACTGGCTTGACTTTGAAGGAACTGGGAGTGGGCACGGCTCACTGGGAGCTCTGGGGTAAGCTGGTCGAGGAGATCACAAAGAGTCGGAAGCGACTGAACGGATAAACAACAACAAAATCGAGACATACAGAAAGCTCTCAATCTTGGCAATAAATGTTGAGAGCCACTTTGAGTATCAGTCAAGCAGGACACTAACAGCAGCAACAATAACAATATAAGGCACCTATGAAATATGAATGGGATTTGGGTCCCATCACCAAGATTATGTGCATGCAAATATTCAAAATATATTTGGACCAAGGAATTTCTAATAAGGAATACCATGCCATTTTCAAAGCGTTTTAGTTTATATTATTATTGTTGTTGTTATTATTAATATTCTAGTTTTGTATCTCCACAAAAAGATTGGCTTCAGGTTCAATTCAATTTTAATATTTATCTAATGTTGATTTTAAGTTGTATTCTTCCTTTCATGATGTGAGCTGCTTTGGTTCCAATCAAGCATTTGAATCAAGGATGCTGGGATTGATGCTGTCGCACACTAGGTCAGGGACACCTTTTCACCTAGCATTAAACCAGTAGGGTCCAGTAGCTTGTTTATAAAAGATAAATGCAAAAAGGGGGGAAAGGTATTTTCCAAAAGGCAGTAGAAAAGGTGCTATAAAATAGCAATAGTCCAGAATACAAAGATCAATAGTCCAAAATGGTAATGTCCATGAAAATCCAAGATATCAAAATACAGGAAATCCAAGTACAAGATACATGGAAACCAAAATAACAAAGTACAGGAAAATCCAAAGAGTCAAAGCATAGTCAATCCATAGCATGAAAACAAGAACTTAAGCAAGGCAAAAAATCTATTGAAAAACAGGCAAACTTGAGAGCAGGTCATGAACTACATTGTTGACGAAGTTGTCTGCTCTGAAGAGCCCCAGGAATCGGAACCTAATTTAAGCTCAAACCTGACCCAACAAACATGTGATCGTCTTTTTTTGCACCTGTGTTTCTCACGAATTCTTTCTGACCTTCTCATTAACCATTCCTTAGCTCTCTCTGGAAAGGTTAATGGGAAGGTCAGAAAGTTGTGTTTTTCACGAATTCTTTCTTACCTTTCCATTAACCTTTTCTTAGCTCTCTCTGGGGAGCCCCCGGTGGCGCAGTGGGTTAAAGCGCTGAGCTGCTGAGCTTGTTGACCGAAAGGTCGCAGGTTCGATTCCGGGGAGTGGCGTGAGCTTCCGCTGTCAGCCCTAGCTTCTGCCAACCTAGCAGTTCGAAAACATGCAAATGTGAGTAGATCAATAGGTACCACTCCGGCGGGAAGGTAACGGCGCTCCATGCAGTCATGCTGGACACATGACCTTGGAGGTGTCTATGGAAAACGCCGGCTCTTCAGCTTAGAAATGGAGATGAGCACCACACCCCAGAGACAGACATGACTGGACTTAATATCAGGGGACAGCCTTTACCTTTACTAGCTCTCTCTGTGCAGAGCCCTAATCTCTTTTCATGAGATAACTCCCCATTTTCAGAAGGCTGGGAAGGCCTGAGAAACTGATTCTCAAGGGAAACATCTTCTGTTTCTTCTGCAGCTGTGTACCCTGGCCTGTCTCTGTGACTGGGTTCTGGTGCAACTGCTTGGGAGTCAGCTGCATTAAAATCACTACTGAGTTGAAAAGTAATGAGTTTGAAGCCAGCCTGGGTTGGAGGAAACTCCCAGCCATTTATCTAGCTTGTTGACTACCTTTGCAGCCCGAAAGACAGTTGCATCTGTCAAGTAGGAAATTTAGGTACCGCTTATGCGGGGAGGCTAATTTAACTAATTTACAATGCCACAAAAATTTCCAGCAGCGTGCAAA